GAGTCGAAAATATATGGGGTCGCGAATCTGATTCTCGCTCAGCTTGGCAGGGATTGATTTTTTGCCAACACATGCTGACAAAGCGACAGCACGTGCTGACTAGACGCGAAGCAAGTGAGATGTGAGTGGGAAACTGGAACTGTACTTCGCTTCCCTGGTAAGGTGAAATTCGTTTCTGTATTTCGACTGATTTTCAGATATAAAATTGGCATGCGCTTATAATAAATCATGAATTTTTAGGGGGTGCGCTTATAATCGAGGACCGGATATAAGCGCCCTCATCCTTTTATAAGCGCCGGCGCTTATCCGAGGCCTGCGCTTCTATCCGGGGGCTTACGGTACCGTAATCACCCGGACATACCACCCGCCGAAATAGAACACCCCCCGGGTGGCTTGTGCGGGGGGGGTGCTATAGCGGACCTCGTTTCTACTATACCCCCCTTTTGGGCCGATCCGGTATAAGACCCGGGGGGGGGGGGGGGGGGGGGGGGGGGTTATGTACGGAAAATTTTGCTGTTTTCGCCTAAATTTTGCACAGCGACGTGACCGCACCAGCGAGGCTGCTAAGCCTGTTGCGGGACTCCCGCCTCTGTGACTGCATGAATCCTCGTCGAGCGACGGGGGGTGTGTTTTCGACCAATCAGGGCATGACAGAGGGCCTGTTGGAGCTTGCAATGTGGCAGCTTCCACTCGAGGCTAAGGGCGTGTGCACTAGGGGTTCGAACTTCTGTCTAAGTTCGAACTTTTAGCGAGGTTCTACTCGGTGCAAAGCGGTGAATGTTCGAACTTTGACAAATTTCGCCCAAAGTGCACACGCCCTAACGTTATCGCCTCATCCTCGGTTTTGCGCACCCAACCAACAATCTACCACCGCAGCAAGCATGTACATTTTGTTCCCAACCGTTTCTGCTTAAAAAAAAAATGTACATTATAACAAGACCCGGGTGATATGTAGCTTTTTCCCATGACAAGACCCCCCCCCCCCCCCCTTTTTTTGATGTAGTTATCATAGCACCCTAGGGTGGTATGTCCGGGTGATTACGGTAATTGCGGAAGCGTTTAATAATATGGATTGAACCACCTTGCGTTGGTATGTGAGGGCAAAGTAGATTGATTAAGACAAGATACAAGGTTTTATAAGAGAACAAGGAATATGAAGAGATACAGCTAATAACCGTTTTATTGTTGCTGTTGCGGTTCGATACAGTGACGACTCGGGCAACTGCTCAATAACGAGTCAGTCGTGTGTCCATGCTGTCGCGCTGCATTTGTCGAGTCAAAGGTCAGCAACCTTTGACCTTTGCGTAACCTCCGGCTGTTACCATTTTGTCAACCTCCTCGGTTGACTCGCCAATGCTCCGTTGTAGTTCACTTCTTTTACGGTTCGGTGTTTCGACACATCAGAACGCTTTAAATTACTTGTTTCCAACACTCCCCTTCGCTTCTTGTGTGTCGCTGCTGGTGACGAGGCCTTGTCCAATCAGCAGCCTGTAGTACTCGAACTTCTGTTTTCCGAGCTTCTTGGTCAAGTAATCAGCTGCCATCTCGGATGTGGGACAGTAGGACAACTCGAGTCTGCCTTTCTCGATCTCGTCCTTCACGAAGAAATATCGCAGAGCGATGTGCTTCGTCCTGTTCGCGAATCCGTTTTTGTTGGCTATGCGAATTGCTGACTGGTTGTCGCAGAACAGAGAGAAGCTGGGTAACTGAGCCAGCTTCGCTTCTTCCAGTAGTTCGCGAAGGTACAGTCCTTCCTTGGTGGCTGAGCAGAGTGCGATATATTCTGCTTCGGCTGAGGAGAGAGCAATTAGTTCCTGCATGCTCGACTGCCACGAGATAGGCCCGATAGGCTCGAAGCGGTAGATGTAGCCGGTGCGTGAGCGCCTGTTGTCGGAGTCGCCGGCGTGGTCAGCGTCGACGTAGCCGATTAACTTGGGTGTCGTGATAGGTTAGACCGATCGTCGGGGTGCTGACGAGGTAGTGAAGTGCGCGGTCGAGCTCCGCCATGTGCTCTGCTTCAGGTTTCTTGAGGTAGGTGGCGAGTTGGCTCGCTGAGTACGATAGGTCCGGTCGGCAGGTGACAGCTGCGAATAGTAGGCATCCCAGTTTTCGTTGGTAGTCGCGTATGCCAGCGGGCTTGAGTAGAGCAGAGGCTTCCTTGTGATGTGCTCCAGTGTAGCGGTGTGGCGTGGAGATAGTGCTTGGAGTTAGTCCAAAGCGCTTGGCGATAGTGTCGGCGTATTTCGCGGCGCTGAGGTAGATTGCGTTCTCCTCCTCTTGGATGTTGAGGCCGAGGTATTGCGTCAGCGTAGATGAGACCGTAAGTGTGAGGTCTTGCTGCAGCTCCCCTTCGAACCAAATTGTAACGTGGTCGGTCGAGCCGATGTAGAGTAGATCATCTACGTAGACGATCAGCAGAATGTAGTCGGTGCCTTTTGTAAGCCGGTACATGCCCTGGTCGTGCGGTAGCTGGCGGAATCCGATGCGGATGAGTCAGGCGTGTAGGTACTGCTGCTACAGTATCGGGGCCTGTTTGATGCCGTAAAGAGACTTCAGCAGTTGACAGACTTGATTGGGGTCTGTGTTAGAGCCGTGCGGTTGTTCGACGTAAATCTCTGTATCGACAGGCGCGTAGAGAAAAGCGTTAGCGACGCCGATTTGCCGAAGTTTCTTCCGCTTCATGGCGGCGATCGCGAGGAGATTTCGTAGTGAAGTGTGCCGGCTAACCGGAGCGAACATTTCGGTGAAGCCCCGTCTGTGCTTCTGGTCGAATCCACGTACGACCCAGCGCGCCTTAAATTTGTCGATGGTGCCGTCTGCTTTGGTTTTCACACGGAAAACCCATTTTCCGGTGAGTACCACTTTGTTGCGTGCCACGCCAATGGGAACGATTTTCCAAGTTTTGCGTTCTTCCAGCGCCTTCAACTCCCTGTCCATGGCTTCGCGCCATTTTTCCTTATGCTCCCCCCCCAGAGCCTGCTGAACTGTGGCAGGCTCCTTAGGCGGTGCCGCACCGTGGACTGCGGTGACGAGTCCGAGTATCTGAGGATCTGGAGACCACTCTGTGTGTAGCGGGGAAGATTGGCGTTCTCGGGATAGACAGCTTCGTCTCCCGCTTCTGATTCAGGTGTGAAATTTTTGTCCTATGCGTTCTGCTTCGTCGGTGTTGACTTGCGCGATTGTAACGTAACCGTTGTCGGCGAGGTCGTAGTAGACTTCGGCGTTGATGCTTTCGCGAGGATTTTCTTCGACCATCGAAACATCGACCGAACTGTAGGGAAGAGGTCCGGCTTCCTCCGATGCTCCGTCCACGTTTTGTTCGTCCCAGTCAGCTTCGTCTGCTGCCGAGGCGAAGGCTCGGTTGCCACGGAATCCGTCTGTGGGGTCTTGGTTCGCCCGCAGGTTGGCCAGGTACGTGTGGAGGGTGAGTCGCTCGTAGAAGATAACGTCACGTGCTGCCACTGTTTCTTTCGAGTGGACATCAAATATCTTCCACGCGTTGTAATGTTTTTCGATGCCCAGGTGTAGTCCCCACTGTGCACGTTGCGAAAATCTTCCGGCTCGTGCTTTGTGGTCGGTACTGTACCATGCAGCCAAAAACTCGTAACATTTTTGTGTTGCCCAATTTCCCTGTCCACAGCAGATACAGTGATGCGTTGTTCGGGAGTGACGACGACGAAAGCAAGTTGTGCAGCATCACGGCATGGTCCATTGCTTCGGGCCACTGGTGGTTGGGTAGCAGCATGCCACGTAGCAGTTTGCGCATGGTGGTCTGGAGTGTCCTGTTCATCCTCTCTGCTACACCTTGCTGTTGATGGGCGTAGGGGAGAGAGATGAGTCTCTTGATTCCTCTCTCTGCCAGATACTGCTTGAAGCGTTGTGACTGGTATTCTCCTCCCCCGTCTGACTAGAAGCTTTTGAGCTTCGCTCCGGATTCCCGTTCTGCTACTGGAAGCCAGGCGACGAAGGCTTCAAAGGCCATGTCTCGGCTTGGGAGGTTGAGATGCCAGACGTATCGTGTGGCGGCGTCGATGAACGTGATGGTGTAGTTATACGCTCTTTGTCCAGGTTCGCGGTTGTACAGTATGTCGCTGTACACTTTCTCCAGAGGTGCGTATGCTGGGGCATTTGGATTGTGGTGAGAGGCGAACGGTCGATGCGGTAGGTCAGCTTCGGGGCAGGTGAAGCACGTTCCTCGAACTCGTTGAAGTTCTCTCCCGTCGTGCAGTAGTAGCAGCGAGTCTTTGTCGAGTACCCCGGCTCTTATGGTATTGTTTAACGTTGTGTTGCTTGGGTGTCCCATCCGTGCGTGCCAGATGTCTTCGCTGGCGCGATGTCCGGGTGAGCGCCTATACAAGTCAGAGTTGGAATAGAAGCTGGCGGTGAAGTTGGCGCTTCTGTGAACTTCCCGCTGAGTGGGAGTCAGCTGTTGCGAGTGAATTGATGGTGTGTCGTTGATGACGGCCGGTGCTGTTGAAGGACCAGCGATTGGTGCCGATGGTGCTTCTGCTGCTGTCGATGTTGTTTCTGCTGCTGCCGGTGTTGTCTCTGCTGCTGCCGATGTTTGTTGAATTGTTGCTAATGCTCTTGTTCGTTCTGCCTCAGGAATTATGTTCGAGTACCAGAACCCGCCAGGGCTGAAGTCGGGGTCGAGATCGGGCGGGTGCGTCCAGGAGGTGAAGTTCACAATGGCGTCGTTGTCGGCAGTGCCTTTATCTGGAACGAAGTCAAGTACGAAGACGTTGTTCTTCAAGACCGCCTTGCCGATGTAGAGTCCTCCTCTCCCGTGATACAACTTGAACTCCTGGGTGGTGCTATCTGCCTCGAGATGAATCCCTTTCGCCATATGTTGGCTGACGCTAAGTAAGTTGTAACCAAGGCCGTCTGCAATCAAAACTTTTGACATTTGCAAGATAACGTTAGTTTCTCATGACTGAAGTTGAACAGTTCCTTGTCTTCCTGTTCGCAGGTTCTGATTGTTGGCGACGGTGATGACGACTTCACACTGCAGTTGGTATTCTCGTTGAACGAAGCGACACGAGGAGCACATGTGTTGTCCGCAGCAGCTGTCCAAGAACCAGGTGTCTTTCCCGGACGGCTCGCTTTGGGCGATGGCTGCGTATGTCGGGTTCGGCTCCAGTGACTCGCGGCGGGGATTACTCTCGTCGAGTAGCTCTTCTGGTGAGTAGTGTGGCGGTGACTCGGTAATACATGAGTATGTGATTCTTGTCATGCAGCTCACGATGTTTCTTGTCTCTTGTGCATATGGTGTTGTTGTCGTTGAAGGTTGCGTTTTAGTGACGGGGTGTGCCTGTGTAGACGCCACTTGATTGCTTGAAGGCTGAAGTTGACGTTGAGGTGTCATTGGCTGCTGCTGATTCGGGCAGTGGGTGCGCGGATGCCTTGATGTTTTGCAGAGGTGGCAGAATGGAGGTACGTAGCGATGTGCTTGAGGTTTGTTCTGCCGGTTGTGGTTGTTGTTGTTGTTGTTGTTGTTGTTGTTGTTGTTGTTGTTGTTGTTGTTGTTGTTGTTGTTGTTGTTGTTGTTGTTGTTGTTGTTGTTGTTGTTGTTGTTGTTGTTGTTGTTGTTGTTGTTGTTGTTGTTGTTGTAGCGTCGTTGGTATGAAAAGCAAATTCGGGTACTGACGTTCTCTTCTTGTGTCGCTCCTCGGGCAGGTCCATGTCTTGCTGTACGGCATGGATTTCGGCGCAGAGTGCTGCTTAAGATTTTCCCGTGAGCTCGAAGAAGGGCTCGGGTGGAACGCCAATGGGGACCAAGTCCTGCGATGATGACAGTGACGAAGGTTTCTTCTGATATTGCTCCTCTGCATCGAAGGAGTCCGTCGCGCAGTCCGCGGCAGCGGCTGATATACGCCATCCCCTTTTCGCCTGGTTTCATTTCAGCTGTTGTCAGTTTTGCCATGAGCCGACTTTGATTGACGCTGTCTATTGCTTGAGACAGGTTCTTCAAGTGACTATACGCGAGCTCGGCAGAGTAGCCGTATCCTCGATAAGACCGAATGTTCTGCTGCTCGTTTGGAGATATATTTCGTAGCAGAATCGTGTACGCCATTAACGATTGGTATGTGTACTGCTGCTTGTCATATTGTGTCCTGTGCGTTGGGTATGGCAGGGAACCGTCGAAGTATCCGAGAATCTGCGCGCCTTCCATCATCAGCTCGAATTCGAAGGACCAGGTATAGAAGTCCTTTCCGCCGAAGGGTGTCTATGTTTGCAGCTGTAACACGTGCGCGAATTGTGACTGTATCTGAATCGCATCTAACGTCTTCTCTTGTCCAGGCGCAGGTTGATTCAGCATGAAGTTGGTGGAGCCACGTTGAGGCTCGTACGGCGCAAAGGTAGGCTGCTGTTGGTTTCCCCGTGCGTATGATGAGCCATCGAGGCTCATGGGTGTAACTCCGTCGTTGTTGTTATTGTTGCTTGATTGCGCAGGTGCTCCTTGCTGGTGTTGCTCGTAGAAGGCCATGAAGGAGAAGAACTTCTCCATCATGCTTGGGTCGAAGCCTGTTGTTTGGTTTGCAGTAGTTTCCGTGGACTCAGCAGCTGGTCGTGTTGCTATACCTCCCTCTGTCTGCAGGCCAGAGGCTGGAGGTGGGGTAGGAGTGGTGCCGGGAGTGCCACTAGAGGGGTTTCTGTCCTTCTATGTAGCCATGTCTTCTGGTGTTTTAGATGTTTAAACGAAGTGGAGTTTCTCTTGACTCGATCTCATACCATGTTGGGCTGAGAAAAGCCCTTAGGATCTTTGCAAGGCTAAACTCTAGGTAGGAACAATGTAATTGCGGAAGCGTTTAATAATGAGGATTGAACCACCTTGCGCTGGTATGTGAGGGCAAAGTAGATTGATTAAAACAAGGAGATACAAGGTCTTATAAGAGAATAAGGAATATGAAGAGATACAGCAAATAACCATTTTATTGTTGCTGTTGCGGTTCGATACAGTGTCGACTCGGGCAACTGCTCAATAACGAGTCAGTTGTGTGTCCTTGCTGTCGCGCTGCATTTGTCGAGTCAAAGGTCAGCAACCTTTGACCTTCGCGTAGCCTCCGGCTGTTACCATTTTGTCAACCTCCTCGGTTGACTCGCCAATGCTCCGTTGTAGTTCGCTTCTTTTACATGTCAGCACGCTGCTCCCCACCACAGCCTGGAAGTCGCGCAACGTTGCGGCCTGCATTGCTCTCGCAGCCTCTTCCCTGAGTCTGAGGAGAACCACTTCACCCAGGTTCGCACTGCTAGCGAGTTCTTGACTGCGATCAAGGCCCGATACTCCACTCCCACCATTGTCTCTCTTGTCGCCTGTTCCTCCCGTTCCTGTTTCCTGACCTCGCCTCGTTTGAGCGTTAAGCTGACTTGATCGCTCACCTGCGTTCGCTAGATTCTAGCTACCGCGCTGCCTGCACTGACGCACAGCTTGCACTGCCCCCCCTCCCCATGGCGATTACTATTTATTTTATCGTCACTTGCCTCCTTGACCGCCTTGCCACAGTTCGCGATGCGCTTATGAAGCACCCTAGCGAGCTCACTATCGAGGTCCTTGAGTCTGCACTACAGGACGTCGAGAGCAACCTCCGCTCGGTAGCCTCCGCCTCTGGCGCTGTGCCCCCCCTACTGTTCCATGGGTGCACTGTCCCACAGCTGCCCACCTTTAGTACCTCCCTCGCCGCTACCGCTACTGACGAGACTGTGGCTGCTGTTACGACTTCTGCGCTGTCTAGAGTTAGGAGAGGCAGGAGGGGCGGCCAGGGTGCAGCCTTAAGCGGAGGCGGCGGAGGTAGCGTGGCGAGTGGCGGTGGCAGGAGTGAAGGTGTTGGTGGAGTGCCTCGTGCAGCTTCTAGTGGCTCTCCTGCTGCAACTGGTGGAGGTGACGCTCGAGTTCGTCGTGCACCTGCGGGACTGCCAGCTGCAGGTGCTGGGGTGGCGGCCTGGTACCTGGCTCAGCAGCAGCAGCGGTAGCAGTAGCACCTGGGGCAATAGCAGGTTCAGAGGCAGGGGTCAGGACCGCGTCAGTTGTCGCGTGGTCACGCCCACCCACCCTGCCCCTACCTCATCTAGACAGGTACTCGCAGCGGCCTCCGCTGCGACCGCCGTCACCCACCGGGTCAGTGCTTTGCTCAGCTCACTGACAGACTTTGCGCGGCCTACGGCGCAGATGGCCCTACCTTTGATTGGCTTCCCCTTGTTCTCTCACACGGTCCCGCATTGTGGGAAATGTGTTAGAAGCCTAAGTTGTATTTAGTCTAGGGTTTGGGGAAGTGTGATAGTCAGAGAAGGGAGAAAGAGGGTTGACCAACAAAAAAGGGGTTGCAATAATGCAAGACATACAAAGATATAGGCAAGAAGGCAATTGGTGCACCGCCAACTAAGTTCGTAACTACAATACGATATAACCGTAAGCAATACAACAGATATATAAAATATATCTTGACACGCCCCCATAAGTGCTTGCAGTTAGTGTCGCAACGCCCCCTGAAGGGGTACACCAAGCAGAGTGCAGCGGAAGAAGCAGAGGGCAAGTGAGGAGGAGGGACCATGAAAGGAGAGAAGGTGGTGGGCGGCGGTTGAAGCTGCTGGCACACTGGCTACTGGAGCAACTGGCACACGGGCTACTGGAGCAACTGGCACACGGGCAACTGGAGCAACTGGCACACGGGCAACTGGAGCAACTGGCACACGGGCAACTGGAGCAACTGGCACACGGGCAACTGGAGTAACTGGCTCTGCGGCTACGACGAGCGGCTGGAGCAACTGACTCATGGGCGACTGGAGCAACGGGCTCACGGGCGACTGGAGCAACGGGCTCACGGGCGACTGGAGCAACGGGCTCACGGGCGACTAGAGCAATGGGCTCACGGGCGACTGGAGCTGCTGGCTTCACGGCGGCCACCCCCCTTCGATCTCTCCTCCCCTTTCTCCCCAAACCTCCCCCCACAGCAGCAGAAGTGACGGAGAGAGACAGGGCAGTCTGGGCAGGCACGGACAGCAGCAGAGATAGACAAACGATAGGGGAGAGGGAGGAGGAGGAGGGCGGCTGGTGTTGAAACTTCACTCCTGCCACCCACTCCCCCCCCCACCCCCCAAGCAGCAGCGGAAGGAAAACAAATAGGAGGAGGCGGCGGCTGATGCAGAATCACTCCCGCCATCCCTTCACACTACCCCCCACACCAAGAGGCGCAGCATCCCTATCGCCACTCCCTCCTCTCCCCCACACCCTCCCCCCCCCCACAGCGGCACGTGGGGCGCGCGGGCAGCACGGCCCACGGGGCGCATATGGCAGCAGGGTGCGTGGGGTGCACCGGGCAGCAAGGCGCGCAGGGCGCGTGGGCAGCAGGGCGCGCTGGCGGGCAGGGCAGTGCGACGCGCGGGCGGGCAGGGCAGCTCGACGCGCAGGCGGGCAGGGCAGCGCGACGCGCTGGCGGGCAGGGCAGCTCGACGCGCGGGCGGGCAGGGCAGCACGACGTGCTGGCAGGCAGGACAGCTCGACGTGCGGCCGAGCAGGGCAGCGCGACGCGCTGGCGGGCAGGGCAGCGCGCCTCGTGGGCGAGCAGGGCAGTGTGACAGCAGGACCGTGACGAACGGCGCTGCATGCTCGTGCGCCAGCAGAAGTGATCGCGCAGCTACTGCAACACTCGCACGCCAGCAAAGGCGCTCATGTGCCAGCAGTTGTGAGCACGACGCTAACAGGGGCGCCATTACGAAAAAAAAAAATTAGCAGGCGGTAGGATCGTTAACGCTCTGATAACTTGTTAGAAGCCTAAGTTGGACTTAGACTAGGGTTTGGGGAAGCGTGATAGTCAGGGAAGGGAGAACGAGGGTTGACCAACAAAATAGGGGTTGCAATAATGCAAGATATATAAAGATATAGGCAAGAAGGCAATTGGTGCACCACCGACTAAGTTCATAACTACACTACGATCTAGCCGCAAGCAGTTATACAACAGATATGTAAGATATATCTTGACAAAATGTCTGCTTCTCAATTAGTTGAACTCTTAGGAACTGCAAATGCTATGTATGCTGTTGTTGACTCTAGTGCTTCTGACTCCGTTTGCTTGCATGCTTTTAGCTTAGGTGCTAGTGTTGATCCTGTGCCAGTTGCTAGTGTAGGTACTTGCTTAGGTACTCGTCCAGATGCTACTCCGGCGGACGCTTCGCTGTCTTTCACCCTGGACTCCGGAGCTTCGCAGTATTCCTTCCGCGACTACGCAACTCTTACTCCGCATCCTGCGCCAGTCTCCATAGCACTGGCTGATCCCACTTCGGGACCAGTCATTGCTCACCACGCTACTACGCTTCCGTGCCCGGCTGATCCCTTGGGTTCTCTGACGGACTTCCACGTCCCCTCGTTCTCTAGGAACTTGGTGGGCGTGCGGCTGCTCGTGAGTGAGCATGTTGGTGTTTGGTTTGAGCCTTCTGGGGACTCTGCGACCTGTGTGGACGGTGACACGTACGCCCCCTTGGCCACTTTTCGCCAGGAGCCGGGTTCTGGTCTCTACACGCTTCACACTGGCCCCCGGGAGAGGCAACAGCAGCAGCAGCAGCAGTAGCAGCGGCAGCAGCAGCAGCAGCAGCAGCAGCAGCAGCAGCAGCAGCAGCGGCAGCAGCAGCAGCAGCAACAGCAGTAGCAGCAGCAGCAGCAGCAGCAGCAGTAGCAGCAGCAGCAGCAGCAGCTGCCTCCGACCCCAGTCACTGCCCCCCGTCAGGTCCCTGCGTCCCATCAGTTTGCTGCGTCCCACCAGGTAGCTGTGTCTGGTCAGGTTGCGGCGTCTGGTCAGGTTGCTGCTTCTTGCTCATGTCGGTCGCTTGCCCACCCCACTGTTCTGTGGCACCACCATCTTGGTTACTCGTCCCTTCCTCGCCTTCGCACTATGTCTAGTTATCGTTTTGTCTTAGGCCTCCCGCGAGTCTTGCCGACGCTGCCCCCTTCGCTTGCACCACCTTGCGGCCCTTGTGTCGAGGGTCGGCTGCGCGCCACCCCTCACTCCTCCTCCCTTTGTCCGGCCACCGAGCCCTTCGAGACTCTCCACTTGGACGTCTGGGCCCCGCGTCTTGCCTTGGTCCTAAGCGAGAGAGTTTCTTTCTGGTGGTCGTCGACGACTACTCTCGCTACACCACCGTTTTCCCTTTGGTGGGAAGTCTGAGGTGACTTCTACGCTGATCAAGTGGTTCCTCACCACAGAGGGTACTCGTCCCCGCCGTGTCAGTTGTCTTCACTCCGACCGTGGGGGTGAGTTTCGCTCCGGCGTTCTCGCCAGATTCTGTCACGAGCAGGGCATCCTCCAGTCCTGGATGCTTCCAGAGTCCCCACAGCAGAATGGGGTTGCTGAGTGCCGCATAGGCTTGGTCATGGAGATTGCACGCACCTCCATGATCCACGCCCGTGCGCCCCATTTTCTGTGGCCCTACGCGGTTCGGTACGCCGCTCACCAGCTGAACCTCTGGCCACGTGTCTCTCGGCCGGGGGTTTCACCGACCAGTCTTTAGACCAGTCCCCTGGTGTTGCAACGCATTTTCGTGTCTGGGGCTGCTTGTCACTTGTTTGCGACACCTCCTTGAACAAGCTCTCCCCTCGTGCCCTTCCCTGTGTCTTCCTTGGTTTCCCAGAGGACTCCTCTGACTTCACCTTTTACCACCCTCCCCTTCACCGGTTCTTTGACTCCCGTGACGTCCGTTTTGACGAGTCAGTCCCCTACTACACTCAGTACCCCTGTCGAGGTCTC